AAACCCGGATTCTAGCGTTGTAAGTCCGCAGACATACCGCTGTATCACTGGGTGCCAGGTGGTAAGTATAAGTAAGAGAGAAAAATATAAATCAACAAGACTGATATTTTAAATGGTTTATTTGCTTAGATGTTACTGATTTGTGGAACAGACCACCTTTTTGTTATAGCTGAAAATAACAAACACATAACAGAATATTTTAAAGGATAAAATCTATTCCTAAAGATTGGCTGTAAATTCAATTTTACAACCAAAAACACTTTGCTAGAACAATATAATTACAGAAGAAATTTATGAAACTTGTTAACTCCACTAATACGTTGACATATTTTAATATTTACCATCAGTGTAAAAATACTCCATTTCTTTGTTAAATGAATATAAACCATTTAATTTAACTTCATTTTATAAAAATGTTATATATAAAGCTATATGGGGAGGAAAAACAAAGTATTGTTGGAACGTTATTCTTTCGTTGGCGGGGTTTTAAAACATTATTCAGTGAAAACAATTCAAAGTCCTGTCCACTTAAATTATAACAAATTTCTCTTTTGTCGTTTCTAAAACCCTGAACACTTGTACACTATCATAAACTGTTGTAGGTTAATGTTAGAAATGATGTTAACTAACGTAAAACAAACCAATTTACTAGTACAAAGTAACCGAATAAGTGCAATATCAAACAGAGATCAAAATACTCCACGAAAACACAATGACTTCCTCAACTCTCTATCTTGAAAACTTTACACACTTCATAACTATCTCGCATTAATAATTTTGCTTTATATGTGCTAGAACGTTTTACATCACTTGCTTAGAACTTTTTTAGGCGTTCTAAGACTATCTTATTAAACGTTTTAAACTGAACACCATCATTACGACAGTTTACAGCACTGACCCCTTTCTCGATTATGGAGTCGCTTAAACAATCCTAATATAAAAATTAAACACAAGTCTTTTGGGATGTTTTCTTCTGAAGCAAGTGGTATATGGATGGGATAGCACCGTGTCTCTTGTTGTCACTGGCCATCCTGTTGATAGGAGAGTTTTAACTGGGTAGGTGGTCGTGTGAATCCATTATTGGCTCCATCCTTGATGATCCTCTGGAATTAGTCTTTACAGGAACTTTGGGATCCTCTGCAGGTTGAGGTTCTGCTGATAAGTTCTTCTCTGGAGTTACTCAGTCGACCGTTCTCTCACCCAATGTACTTTCAAAGACGGTCAGAATGTATGA